CACTAACAGTTTACACAAGAAGAGGAGAACAAAGTCTGTAAATATAAAAGGGAATGTACATTTATTTGAAGAAAATTGATCTAGCAATGAGTGTTAACACACAGTGATAAATTCTGAATATTTCTTTGAAAAAGTACCGATAACTTTGATTTATCCAACACTGTGTTCGATGATACTTACGACTGTACATATTTGTTCTTTGATTACTTAGTGATGTAACTTTTTTATTTCAGTACTACAGTCTTACTTATCCATCAACTGCCAGACAAAATTAGAAGGGTTAAACGCCATAAAGTCTCTAAAAGCCGGGAAAGCTGCATGAACAGATGAAATTCACTACCAGAAACTCTAAAGACAGAACCATACGCTCATACCACTATTACAGAAGGTATGAAAGAAAATGAATATGCTTGCCTACCTGAAGAAAGGTTACCTTGTTAAACTCCCAAAGAAAGGTGACTTAAGCCTGTGCAAGAAGTGCCGCGGAATTATACTTCTGTCCACCATAAATCAATGTATTAGGCTGAATCATTCTGGAGAGAATAAAAGATGCTGTGGATGCGAAACTTTGCCAGGAACTGGTAGGATTCAGCAAAAACAAGTCATGTGTGGATCTAATTGATAAACAATGCATCACAGTCGAATATAGTTTAGAAAAGTAGTGAAATGTGTACCTCAGCTTCACCAACTTTGAAAATGCCTTCAATGGAGTTGACTGAGAATTAATTCGGAAACTGCTTTACCACCATCGAGGGCAGTGCTTCAGACAGTCATAAACCTCATTCAGCAGCTCTATGTTAATTCCGCATACCAGGCAACTCACAATGGAAAACTCATTAAAGCGTCTAGGGTGGTGGCAGGAGTAAAATAAGGCTGCCTACCATAACCGATGACATTCCTGACTGTGTTTGGTCATACGGTGGACCGTGGGGAGCCAAAACACAGAAGTGCTTGGGGCCAACAAGACTCCACAATAGCTGGACTTCGCGGATGATTTATGTCTGACATCAAACAGACGTGGAGATCTAAAGGTGGAAACCAGCAGAAGAAGCAGAGAAGACGTGACTTCAAGTGAACACAGAGAAGAAATAGATGTTGAAGATGCCTGATCAACAATAACAAGCACCAGCCACCATCAGTGGAAGAAATCTAATGAAACCACCTCTTTCACTTATCAAAGCAACATCGTTTCAACTACAGGTGGAATGGATGAAGATATTAATGGCAGGATTGGAAAAGCAAAACTAGTGTGCATTACTCCGCAGTCAGTGTGGAAATCTTCTGCACCCAGCATAAGGAACAAATCCCTAAGTACTAATATCAAGTTAGTACTTCTTCGTTTTTGACAGAAGTATGGTTTTTATTACTATGAACATTTCCAACAAGCTTCAGACTTTTATCAACATCCACCATTACTCGATATTGGAGATTAATTGACGAGAAAGGATATGTAACAGGGAGCTCTGATAACGAACCCTCCAGAAATCTGTCTTCCAACAAATACGTCGGAGGAAATGGAGATTTATGGGACGTACACTGAGAAGACCATTTAGTGACATA